TTATGCATAATTACTTGTAATCTTGAATTTTAAGTAATATGCATCAATATACAGTACTTTATGCATAACAAAAATATATCGATATTTGTATCAAATTAACTATTTAAAATTCCTCATTTTTTGTGTAATTTTTTAATTCAATTTTTTATTATAATTTAATTCAGGTATAATAACAAAGTAATTTAGGGGGTGTATGGGATTGCTTATCAAAACGACTTATTAACTTATTTCAGTCTGGTACCGAAGATAAGCAGTTTTTTAGTGTTTGGGTAATAAAAAAAAACTACTTATACCGGTGCCAAACCGGTAATAAGCAGTTTTTGATAAGTTAATCCGTAGTGACTTATGAAAATCGACTTATTACCGATTTACCATTTTAACCCTGTCTAACACTTATCCTAATAATCATTGATATCTCTTTCTCCCATTAACAGATACGTTCTCCATAGATACGTCTTCTCCTCCATCTCTTCACCTCTTCTCCAAATCGATATCTCTTCTCCCATCGATATCTCTTCTCCTCCATATATACATCATCGTCTACCCTATACGATGAACAAATCGATACCCTAACCCTAGAGATCGATAACCCAATACGAACAGAGATTCCACAACAGATACGCTTACTGCCTGTGAAATCATCGATAAGATGCAGCATAGGAATAGATGGTGAGCTGCATCTCTTGAACACATTTAAATCTAGAGCACATCACCAATTGCCAACAGGTGTCTAAGCCAAAGCCAAACCCTAAAAATCATCTTCACTACCATGTTTTACAGAAAGAAAAAGGGGAAATGTAGGTGGGTTCAAGAGAGAGAGAAAAAAGATTCCAAATTTGCATTAGTTAAGGCATGTTGCTGTTGTTCTTCGAAATGTTTTCATGAAACAAAGAAAGATTCAATGTGGGTTTTTCTTGTTTTGAGGAATGGATTTTTGTCTTGGAAGAACGCTCGATGGATGATTTTTTCCTATAAGTCAATAATATAGAAGACTGTCCTTTTTGGTTATTTTACATATATGAGCAAAATTTGTCAAACACTAAAAAACAATTTATCAACTTATTGCAGTTTGGTACCGCTATAAGCTAATCCAAACACTTTCTACAAAACTCCGGTTTGATACCGCATAAGTTAATAAGCACTTTTATAAAAAAACATAAGTTGTTTTAAATAAGCAATCCCAAACACCCCCTTATATTTGGTTTAATAATATAATTTTCTTATAAAGATAATAATTAATTATTTTGTTAGA